CCATTGATTGCGCGGGGAATCATTGACTCTCGGTACTTGAACATTTCAGGTGGTTCATATGGAAACAATTTTGACGCATGAAAAACTGGGTATGTGCGCAAATGTGCAGGCACATCAATCGTGTAGGAAGGACCGAAGGAATCACTCCCTACCTGGTTCAAGACCTGCCACGGACCGTAGTACTGAGGAAGAAGCTTTCGTGATACACCTTCTTCTTCAGAAAACTCAAACATTTTGACCCAGACATAACTTCCCACTGTGAATGGTGCAGGCTGGCGCTTCTTGTTAGCATGTTTAATCATGGCACTGCGTTGCCTTTCCATAGCTGCGACAACAACCTTGAGCAACCGATCATACTTAGCGCTGTAGCCTGGCTGGCCAGGTGTCAGACCAGGAGGCTGTTCAGGGAACAGGTAGGATAGAGGATTGCAAATTTTCCATCCAAGATGCAGCCGGTTAGGCGTCATCCCGGTGGAGGAGTGGATGGAGTTGTTGTACAACCCTTGCACGATCGGCAATTCCTCATCCCAAGAGTTCTGATCAGRCACAATTARGGCTCGRAGAAGTTGGATCACAGTCTGSTTGATCTCCTCGGCCARTCCATTGGCTTCGGGATGTCGACSAGATGTCATCTTGAGTTTCATGTCATAAACCTGGGAGGTGAAGTCCTTCCATTCTGCGCTTATGAACCTAGTGTCCCGGTCACTCACAAGAGTTTTCGGGGCCCCACACTGCATAATGTATTTTTTGTGAAACTCTTTGATCCCAAGGTCAGTTGGGGCGTGAGGTGGTAGTGGGATCAAATTCAAAAACTTCGAAAAACGATCGACAATCACCATGACTTGGGAATAACCGTTTCTGCTCTTCTTCCCCATGTCCGTGAAGTCAATAGAAACAGACTCCCCCGGACCGTCAGGAATAGGAAGAGGGTGCATCAACCCATAAGGCTTCTGCCGAGATGGCTTAATGCGTTGACAAACTTCACACTCAGCCACAAACCTTTGCGCCATTCTTTTCATACCAGGCCACACAAACTTTTCCAACAGATTCCCGTATGTCTTCTCAACACCGAAATGTCCACTCCGGCCATGAGCCAAATCCAAGAAATGAGTGATGATTGGCCCATGGTTGGGTACACACAACCGGTCATGCTTACCGTAGCGTTGGAAGAGAAGGCCCTTACATTCATGGAAATCAGGCTGACCGCTAGGGTCAGCCCGAATCTGCTCAAGGATGGGACTGAGTTCCGGGTCCTTGGCAGTATGCTCGATGAGTTCCTCCTTCAGATGACTACGCAGGTTGTAGGAACCCACAAGGCAAGTCATATACTCGGGGTGGCGAGACAAAGCATCCGCAACACGATTATAGCAGCCTTTCTTGTGTTTGAGTTCAAAATCATACACATCAATCTCATGCAGCCATCGGGTCAATGTGGTTGATGGGTTAACCTGTGGTTGATGGGTTAACCTGTGTCTGAATCCATTTCAAAGTCTCATGGTCTGAGAACACTTTGAAATGGCGACCCAAGAGGTAGTGTTTCCAGTGGTCTAGTGCCTCTCTCAAGGCATAAAGCTCTCTCATGTAGGTGGAAGCGGCTACCTTGTGACTGGGCATGCGTTTGCTGTAGAATTCAAGCGGACGTAAGCCATCACCGTCATCTTGCTGCAGCACCGCACCAATCCCATACAAACTTGCATCCGTAGTCACTACGAATGTAAGCTTGGGATCTGCAATGCGAAGTACCGGATGACTCACCAAGACCTCTTTAAGTGCTTCAAAGGCTGTCGTGCATTCTTCATTCCATGTGTAGGACACATTCTTGCTTGTTAGCTTAGACAACGGACGGGCGGTGATAGAGAATTTAGGCACGAACTTACAGTAGTACGACGCAAGACCAAGAAAAGAACGCAACTCGCGGACATTCGCAGGTTGAGGCCACTTTCGGATGACCTCAACTTTGGTTGCCTGGGGTTCTAGGCCTGCAGCAGACAACCGATGTCCAAGGTAGATGACACTGTCCCTCCCAAACTCAGATTTCTCCAAGTTGAGATGGAGCTGCGCGTCCTTGAGGATCTGCATCACTTCCTCAAGGTGCCTCATGTGCTCCTCCATCGATTTGCTGAAGATTAGTATGTCATCCAGATATACAACAACAAATCGATTGATCTGAGTGCGAAATACTTTATCCATGAGACTTTGAAAGGTGGCTGGCGCATTCGTGAGACCGAAGGGCATGACTGTAAACTCGTACAGCCCATCGCGAGTTTTGAATGCGGTCTTGTGCTGGTCTGCAGGTTCGACTTCAATCTGGTGGTAGCCAGACTTGAGATCGATCTTGCTGAAGACCTTGCATCCACCTGCAACATTGAGCAGGTCATCGATACGCGGCAAAGGATATGCATTTTTTCTTGTGATTCTATTTAATCCGCGGTAGTCGATACACATCCGCAGTTTGCCTCCTTTCTTAGGGACAAACAGCACCGGTGCACCAAACTCAGACTCGCTTGGTTTGATCCATCCCTTCTCAATCATATCATCAATCTGTCGTCGCAACTCCTCCAATTCGCCTGAGCCCATTCGATAGACACAACCCTTTGGAGGAGTGCTACCTTCAATCAACTCGATTCTGTGTCGGACCGGACGCACGGGGACTCCATGCGGTTCGGCCAAGACGTCAGGAAATCGGTTGAGAAGGTTGCGAATTTCCGGTGGGATTTCCGGAGGGGGATCATCACTCTGAGAAGCAAGCATGTCAGTTTGTATAGGTGCAGCCAAAACAATAGGATTAGAAGTAGAGTCATTTGGACTAGAGATGAGCTTAATAGAGGTAGAAGTAGTTGCATCCGAGGTGGACACAACATGCAAAGTAGAATCATCATGTACAACAAAAATGGAAGGCACATGAGCAGGCCTAACAAAGGCTATATACATTTGCTCATCAGTAATGCGCCTGCCCCACTTTTTGCAGAACTGCATTGCATTGAGAAAGGTCACTTGGGACTCGCACGGCTCATCCAAGAGGACTGGACGCTCGATTCCCATGGCATCTTTGACCATGAATTGTGAGTCCTTCCACGTGGTTCTTTCACATTGGGCCTGCAACCAGCCCAAACCAATAACCGCGTCGAAGGGGCACTGATCAAGGACATAGAAGTTCAATTCATGCGTGATTGTGCGGTCAGCGTTAAAGGTAGTGCGCACACCTTTGACTGCATGCGTAGATGTGACAACCTCTTGGTTGCCTACTTGGGTCCGACAAGGATTCTGCAAAGTCACTTGCTTCATCCCCAAGCGTGCCTTACGAATGCCGTGCGGTGAGAAGTAGTTGGCGGTCGCACCACAATCAGCCAACGCACGGACGTAACGGCCATTAATGTAGAGTTTGAAGACGATCAACTTCGTTCTCCCTTGCGCGCGTTCTTGCTTCATGTGAGCCCAGCGCGTCAACAGAGAATGGAAGTCAATTTCTTCCGACTCTACCCAAGGCTCCTTGTATAGGATGTGGATCTTCTTAGCCTTGGAATCAGCATCAAATGGGGTTTCAGGAGAGGTTTGCTGAGTGGGATCAGAATCCAAAGAAGAATCTGTACTTACATGTTCAGCCTCTCCATCAGTAGAGTGTGCTGATGATGTCTCTACCCCCGTTGCTGGTTTCCCTGCTGCAATCTGAAATAGTGTTGGACTGAATGTCCCGGTTTGGTGCAATGCAGGCAAACTCCTCTCTTCACCCTGTTCTTCCACTCACTTTCACTAATCCGGAGATCTACCCATGGTTTTGTGGCAGGATCTTTCGGTTTTGGTGGAATCTTTGCTCCCTTGGGAAGAAGGATAGTTAGTGTTGTTCTTCATCGTGGTCCTCGGTCCCTTACTTTTGAAGGCAGTCTTTTTAAAGGCATTCATAGATTCATCGTCATTTATACACTCAAGACTCATGGGCTGACAAAGAGCAAGATGCCCCGCAGTCTTGCTCTTGATCGTCATCAAGAGAAGATTCATCCACGAGGGACTCCTCGTCAGCCTCAAGCAGATCATGTGCTGCAAAACGGTTGCTGCCTGGAAACCGCTTGCGGCTGGTGGCCTTTTTGCCACTTGATCCACCCGGGAGGTCTTGTGCCTCCAGCTTGACTAAGTCCCGCATGAGGGTAAGCCAATCTGTATATCCGTTGAGTCCGAGCCCTAGGCGATCTTTTAGAGTAGAGGGGACCGTACCTTTTATCACATCCAGACAGGACTGCGCAGTCATTTCCAGATCCGAAGTAGCAAAAAGTTTACTAACATACTGCTGCAGGTTGTGCATGGTGCCGGTCCACTTGCTGTGCTTGAGCTTGTCAAGCTCGAGTCTTGCTTTAGCTGCAGCATGTGGATCAGCATATTGTTTGATCAAGAGATCCTCAAGTGCGGCAGTAGGCGTAGCCTTTAGCCATTTGTTCAGGTCTATTCTCTTATAGCCTGATTGGACAGCTTGGGTTTCTAGGAAACCCCGCACGACGGCTCCACATTGGTCCCCAGGATAGACGACTGAGTGGACGGGGGTGTCCCCAATACGTCAAAGTAGGACCGCATAGAGTTGATCCAAGACTCGACGTCATCCTTTCCGTCATACTTTGACGGAATCTGCGCCGCCTTCCTGTCGATGTAAGCAAAGCTGCCGCCTGGCCCAACCATTGCTGGGTCCGGGCCCCGGGCTGCAACAGTTCCAGAAGTCCCTACACTACCACTCGCCGCTGCAGCAGCAGCAGCGGCAGCAGCAGCAGCAGCAGCGGGGTCTGGACTTGCTGCAGTTCCGCTTTGGCTGTTAACGACACTCAAAGAAGAAGAAGAAGTAGAAGGAGAAGAAGTAGACGTAGTCAGAGGGGCAAAACTGGACTGACACGCAACATTGGAGGCAGGGTAGGTTAGTGAAGAGACGATTTGAGCCTGCTGCGAACTAGCAAACTGTTGCAGCTGATCGCGGTGCTGCTGCGCCATCTTGGCCATGTCTTCGCGCAACTCCTTGAGCTGCTTAAACACCTGTGCGAGTTGGCCAGTATGGTCCTCAACAACCCGGACCCCTGCTAAGGCTCTGAGGAGGGGAACCGTTTTCTCTTCTACCTCCTCATCAGTCAGAGCAGACACGGTGCTAAGGACGGCCTCGTGAGCCTGCACCTTATCCCTTCTCTCTCTCTCTTTCTCTTCCTCCTCCCTCTTCAAGGCTTTATCGTAGAAGAACTGGTACTGCGGTTTTTCTGACTCAGGGGCAGCGTCCATCTGCCGTTTCCAATCTGTTGCAGATGCCATGATGGAGGATGAGGGTGTCAGTAAGACTCTCAAGAGGGGTCCATACTTCCTTTCAGCTTTGCGACGAACACTCCTCTTCCCTCTCCTCACTCCCTCAAGAGCAACACTCAACAACTTCTCTCTTCTCTCTCTCTCTCTCGTTTGCGACCGTGTAGACGAAGGCATTAAAGAACCCAATGAAAGAAACAACTTGAACTCAATCAGAAGAGAAGGTAGAACTCCTAGCCGGAGCGGCAATTCATTTGGACTGGAGAGCAGTCAAAACAGCAAAAAGAAAAGAAAAGATAAGAGAGATCTGATCCAGCCACACAGTCTGGACTGACTACGTATGGGGTCCTCCCAAGCCTAGCCAGCCTCAGCGCCGTGAAAACACAGCAAATCAGATTCAAGATAAACAGCGAAATGCAAGAGAGAATTGAGTGGTGTATAAGGTGCGAGTCAGGCGGCGGATTGCGCGGTAAAGTCTGATAAAACGTCCCAGCGGAGATCCCCTCCGCAGCGAGTGTCCTAGTCCGAAAGCATAAAGTTCGTATCCCAATCAGATAGGGCAAGGTAACTGACGTCAACAGATTTGGTCTGAGGGGCCCTTCTTGTTTGGGACCGGTTCCACTGAGTCCCAAATGGTCCCAGTGGAGTCAGAACCGGTTCCCAACCAACAAGAGTTCCAGAGAGACCTACTCTGTCCCTACTGAATTGAAAATCGAAATTTTGCCCCAGAAAGAACCTGTAGACTACCGCCGTTCAGAATGAAATAAACAAAGCACTGTAGAGAGATATCGCATGGCAAACAAGATACTCCATTCATTCACTCATCAGGTGAGTAGGCAGTTCACACACCTCACACACAATCAAGACTATGGAGGATGGAAGAAGAACCTTGAGAACCCCAACAGGCAGTCAATTCCATGCACACACACATGGGCACCCTGGTGGCACGACACTTACCCGAGTGGCCAGGCTCTTGAGATGAAAAGAACTCACCCCCCTCTCACATAGTCCTCCTGACCCAATTAGCATCCTCTACACTAGTGTCCTATCATCTAGGAGGGTCAACATCTACCCCAAAGTACAMAGCCSGATCCCCCGTCAATGTTGAAGATCAAAGCAGCAACTTGCAGTCCGTAGGTTGAGATATGGCTGCCACCCTCAAGCTCGCCTACTTGAGCGGAGCCCTAAAGTCACTCCTCCTCTTCCCTAAAGTCCAGATTCAAGTTGTAGGTGCCCTTCACTGTCGCCTCTCTCAAATTGCATCACGAAGTCCCACCTTGTGTCTCGCCACCATAAACATGCAC